TTTGATGGGAGGGAGGAGGGAGATGATTTGATGGGAGGGAAGGGGGGAAATGATTTGATGGGGGGAGATGATTTGATGGGAGGGGGGGAGATGATTGATGGGAGGGAGATGATTGATGGGAGGGGGGGAGATGATTGATGGGAGGAGGGGGGGGAGAGGATTGATGGGATGGGAGGGGGGGGAGAAGAAGAGAAGATTATGGGGGAGAAGAAGAGAAGATTAATGGGAGAAGCAGCCGACACTGGGAGGAGAAGAAGACAAGACAACAGGGGAGAGAAGCGGAGAACACAGGGAGGGGGGGGAATAAGAGAAAAACACCGGGGGAGAAGAAGAGGAGAACACGAGGGGTGGGAGATGAGAAAGTAGGGGAGGGAGAGACCACTAAAGGAGGGAGGGGGCAGTGGAGAGACCGCTAAGGGAGGGGGGTGGAGGATAGACCACTAGGGGAGGGTGGGGGGAGAGGAGAGACCACTAATGGAAAGTCGGGGAGAAAAGGAGACCATTAAGGGAGGTGGGGGGGAGAGGAGAGACCACTAAGGGGCAGGGGAGATATGTAAGGAATGGAAGGGAGAGCTCTATAGGACAGGGGGACAGGGAGCTCTTTCACACCACACACACACACACACACACACACACACACACTGCATCCCTATACACACAGAAACACAACATGCTTCCCTTACACACAGAGAAACACACAATGCAACCATTACACATAAAGACAATGCATCCTTTGCACATATACACAGAACACACACAATGCATCCCTTACACACACATGCAAACACACACTGTTTCTCTTACACACACACACAGAAACACAATGCATCTCTTACACACATTCAACACACCCCTTACAGACACACACACTGCATCCCTTACATACACAGAAACACACTTTGCATCCCTTATGCATACAAACACAGATTCACACAATGCATCCCTTACACACAACAAGAAACACACAATACATCCCTTATACACAAACACTCACTGCTTTCTATCCCTTACACAAACAACACTGCATCACCTACACAAACTGGTATCCCTATACACTACATTCCGTAAGCACACACATTAGATCCTCTACAGTAACACATAACACATCCCCTACACACTCTACTCCCTGTGAGCGAACTCATGGGTGGAACATGTAGGTGGCCTTATGGGTGGGCTTTATGGGCATACTCACCGTCAGGCCCTGGGGCCCAGACCTTGAGCTATGTAAGAGGCCCCCAAAAATGGAGCTGCTTTCCATTCTCCCAGAACATTGAATTTTGTGACCACAGTTGCAAACAGCCTCCAGAGATCCTGTTCAACACCAGACCAGTGGAGCCAGACTGCAGCCAGAGCCCATCACCATCCTCATCTGATTGTAAGTAGACAATCTAGTATATTATTAGTGACACTAATCTCTAGTTTACCTCACATTAAATGGACACTATAGTCCCCAGAACCACTGCAGCTTAATAAAGTTGTTCTGGTGTCTATAGTTTGTCCCTGCAGGCTTTTTAATGTAAACACACACTGTGTGCAGCACTGGCATTCGTTCATATGGGTGGGGCATTGCGATGTTCCGGGGGAGGGGGGGGCAAATCTTTCTTTTGCCTAGGGCGGCAAAAATCCTTGCACCGGCCCTGCCCACCATGACCACTTCAAAACACTAATGGTGCCTAGTGTAACTTTTAAGAGAACCAAACAATATATGGTTCTTTTTCATTAAAAAAAATATATTATAAAGCATTCATGGGGTACCCAGGGTGCATATTTAACTCCACTCTAACCTGATACATCATAGGGAGATACAAAATAATAACACATTTATGGCACTTAATTCAAGTTAATAAAATCTAATTCTAGTTTTGCATTAACCTTCAATTACATTTTAAACATCAGCTTTTCTTTAATCATTAATAATTTTATTTGCTATTAAAAGAATCTTTTGATGACAAGTTGTTAAGCATTTTTTCGTAATAGAATAGATCAAAAATGTATTTGTCATATGAAACAGAGCTGTCCAACTTAGAATCATATTGTTTCCACTTTGGCTATTTTGCCCTTAAAGGAACACTATAGTCACCTAAATTACTTTAGCTAAATAAAGCAGTTTTAGTGTATAGATCATTCCCCTGCAATTTCACTGCTCAATTCACTGTCATTTAGGAGTTAAATCACTTTGTTTCTGTTTATGCAGCCCTAGCCACACCTCCCCTGGCTATGATTGACAGAGCCTGCATGGAAAAAAAAACTGGTTTCACTTTTAAACAGATGTAATTTACCTTAAATAATTGTATCTCAATCTCTAAATTGAACTTTAATCACATACAGGGGGCTCTTGCAGGGTCTAGCAAGCTATTCACATAGCATGGGATAAGAAAATCTTAATTAAACAGAACTTGCAATAAAGAAAGCCTAAAGAGGGCTCTCTTTACAGGAAGTGTTTATGGAAGGCTGTGCAAGTCACATGCAGGGAGGTGTGACTAGGGTTCATAAACAAAGGGATTTAACTCCTAAATGGCAGAGGATTGAGCAGTGAGGCTGCAGGAGCATGTTCTATACACCAAAACTGCTTCATTAAGCTAAAGTTGTTCAGGTGACTATAGTGTCCCTTTAAATTTGAAATTCACCTTGCATTCTCACTTAAGTAAATAAATCTGTTAGAGTTTAATTTCTTGAGAGGAACCAAAAAAGATGCACATATGGTGTAGGCAAACCTACTTTATAAAACTAATATTTAAAGGAACACTGTAGTCTTAGGAATAGAAATGCTAATGCTATAGTGTCCTAGTCCCTGTTTAGGGTTAAAAAGGTGAATTTTACTTTCCTTTTCTCCCTCGCAGCACTGGTCTCCAGAGTTACGCTGTCTTTGGATGAGATCATCTAGCTTGATGAGCTCAATCAATCCGATGCTTTCCCATAGAAAAGCATAAAGAGGCTAGGGCGCATACATGGCAAAATGCCACACTGCACCAATCAGATGCTCTCTGACAGCATCTGATTGGAATAATGGTTTTACTCCACTATTTTGGCAGAAACACCTCTAGTGGCTTTCAGTGTGACAGCCATTAGAGGCAAGTTAATCCTACAAGAAAACATTGCCATTCCTGCAGAACGGCAATGTTGTCAGTTGTGAGGTTAAAATTGGGCACACAAAGATGAAGTGGTCTTGGTGCCTATTGAGACCTGTTAAATAGAATCACTTTACCAGCATAAAAGAACAGAACAATCAACATCACTAGTAGCAATATTTGCAATTATAAAATTACATTTTATAAAACACCTTTGAGTACACCAAGGGCCTATACTACGTTCAAATTATTTACTGAAGTATATATGAATGTGCACTAATATTATCTCATCGGAAATCAGAGCTCAGCAAACCATGAGACAAACAGAAACAGGTATACACAGGAAAAGGTGCTTGCTAACTGAACTCTTCAAGGTAATCATCAAGCCAACATTGTGAGGTTTCTCAGAAAATATATAGTTTATTGGAATCATTTAAAAAGCAGTCAGACAAAAGATAATGAAGGCATCATAAGAAGTATGGACACAAGCAGTTACCCAATTGCCCTGAATATCATTGCTTACTCTGACAAGGATATTCATAGAGTGAGAATTCAAAGTGAAGTCAGCTAAGCTTCCAGTTTGGCTACTTTGCCCTAAAATTTTAAATGTACTTTGAATTCACTTTGAGCTCTCATTGTCAAGTCATCTCCTGAAAGTCGTTACATCAAATGTTTTCATGACTGATGCCGGATAGGCTTAAACCTCACATTTTTTTTTTTTTTTTGTATCCTGTGAGCACCAATAAATTTGACTTTTGAGCACCTATATTGTGAAGGCCATGACCTGTACTTTAGATGTTACATCAAATTTGATTGAGACCTTGGTATACATTCTAGAACATATTTAACATATTAGATAGAAGCAAACTCACTTATAAAAGAATCAAGAAAGGTCTTCTATCACAAACCTTTGTAACAGTTTGTCTTCATTCACCAGACATGGCTTTTAACCTTCTTCATTATTACTATCCGGGACATAGTTCAAGTATTTCCTAGGGACATGTGAGAGTTGTTGAAATATCCTGACATATGCATGAGACAGCACATTCACTGACACTCTACTAAAGAGAGATCTGCATGGGAAAATGAAATTCATATAATATATATCACAGTTATGTGAAACAGGATCAATAAAATAAAATAAAAAAAGTTTTTATTGTGAGACATATGTGACAGATGTGTTATAATTCTCACAGACAATCATTTGGTTAAGTGCATGTATCTAGAACCAGATTTGACTTGGGTGAAAAATACTGCATGAATATGAGGCCAAACCCTATGAAATGCACTTAAATCTTGTTACAGCCTGGAGTGTGCCTGGAATGTCCTTACTCTTTCCACAATTTGTCATTCATTGGCCAATATTTGTTTGAACTAAAAGAGGAAAAGGAGAAGGAGAACTGGGGACTGGGACATGAAGACACATGTGGTTTATGAGAGCTGGAGAGATACGGTTTGGTGCTAGGGACATGGAGAGAGATAGGGTTTGTTGGTAGAGGCATGGAGAAAAATACAATTTGGTTGTAGGGGCATGGAGAGAGATCCAGTTTTATGGTCAGGCATGGAGAGAGATACGGTTTAGTGGAAGGGCATAGAAAGGTATATGGTTTTATGGTAGGAGCATAGAGAGAGAAAAGGTTTGGTGGTAGGGGCATAGAGAGAGATAAGGTTTGGTGGTAGAGGCAAGTAGAAAAATACAATTTGGTAGTAGGGGCATGAAGAGAGATACGGTTTTATGGTCGGGGCATGGCAAGAGATATGGTTTGGTGGTCGGGGAATGGCGAGAGATATGGTTTGGTGGTTGGGGCATGGCGAGAGATACGGTTTGGTGGTCGGGACATGGCGAGAGATACGGTTTGGTGGTCAGAGCATTGCGAGAGATATGGTTTGGTGGTCAGGGCATTGCAAGAGATACGGTTTGGTGGTCGGGGCATGGCGAGAGATATGGTTTGGTGGTAGGGGCATGGAGAAAGATACGGTTTGGTGGTTGAGGCACAGATGATATGTGAGCATTGTATGATGCCCATGGACCACCTCATTGAATAGGACAAAGAGTAAGGAGCACATGGGATGAATGACATCTGGGGCGTATTGTGCAAATTCAAGTGTAGAAGGTAATTTGAAAGACACAGTCGGGGAGAGCATTGGGAGAAACACAAGCAGTGTTATTCAGTAAAGTCTAGGGTCAAAATAACCAAAATGAATGCTTTCAGTTCAGCTACTGTGGTCTTAAATTTGATTCTCTTCGAATACACTTTGAAATATGCAAATATCTTTATTTTATACAATACTTATTTGAAGGCACACACCAGATGGTAGCGAATGAGATGTGCTCATAAAGTAAATATGATAATTGATAAATCAGTTTCAATTCAGTGATCTTAGCTCATTTCTGCTGAGCCTGACTACATGCAGACCTTCAGTGAATAACTGACAGAAAAACACTAACAATGCTATTCACCCAAGTGAGAGTTCAAAGTGAATTTAAAATTTCAGCTGAACTGAAAGCACAGAACATTTTTCCAGTTCTGTTATTTTTACCTTAAAGGATCATTATAGTCACCTAAACAACTTTAGCTTAATGAAGCAGTTTTAGTTTATAGATCATGCTTCTCAGGTTTCACTGCCATTTTGTAGTTGAATCACCTTTTTACTGTTTATGTAGCCCTTGGCACACCTCCCCTGACTCTGATTGACACAGTCTGCATGAAAAAAAAACTGGTTTCACTTTCAATCACATGTAATTTACCATAAACAATTTTATCTCGTTCTCAGTAAATTGAACTTTAATCACATACAGGAGGCTCTTCAAGGGTCTAGCCAGCTGTTGGCATAGCAGGGGATAAAAAAAAAAATCAAAATTATACAGAACTTGCAATAAAGGAAGGATAAACATTAGATGACTCTTTACAGGAAGTGTTTAGGAAGGCTGTGGAAGTCACATGTAGGGAGGTGTGACTAGGGTTCATAAATAAAGTGATTTAACTCCTAAATGGCAGAGAATTGAGCAGTGAGACTGCATGGATATGATCCATACACCAAAACTGCTTCATTAAGTTAAAGTTGTTTTGGTGACTATAGTGTCGCTTTAAATTTTAAATTTACTTTAAATTCTCACTTTAGTGAAAAACTTTGTAAATAATGATCATAATAACAAAACCAGCAACATGGAGAAAGGGGTTAGAAGGGGAAAATAAAATTGCATTTTAAAAAGGGTGAGAGACCAAAAAATAGTCTATTTTACAATAAAGTCCTTTACACTTAGGGATCAACTCAACAGAGGATTACTTCCTCAGAGATATAAGAATTGTACCAAAGATTTATTTTAATATAGCAAATATTTTCAACTAACTATGTATTGCATCATTGTAATATCACTAACATCTGCAGGAAGGGAAGGAACAGCATTAGCTTTTGTACACCAGTGGTGTATCCGGGGGGGCAACGGGGCAATTGCCCCCTCCCCCCCCCCCGAGAGCTGATGCCCTCTCCTGCAGGGCCGGTGCTATCCAAGCGCCGACCCTGCTGTGTGCCTTCACGGACTGGAGGGAAGATCAGAGATTGAGACTGTTCTTAAACAGTTTGACTATTTACTCTGGGAGAGCGCTACAGCACTCCTGGCACCATAACCACTACAGAGTGCTGTAGTGGTTATTGTGCCTGGATTGTTTCTTTAAATAATCTATGATTGCCCCTCCTGAGATAAGACTCTGGATCCGCCAGTGTTGCAAACTAGCTAGAATGAGCAATAAAATACAATATAAGGGGAGTCCAACATCATTTTGTAATGTATGTGCTTTATGGTGTGTGCGTTTTTCCCTATTTCATTGTATAATGTGATAATATAAGATAAGTATTTTAATACCCATAACACATTTAATTTCAATATATATGACCTTTGCATTACAGTGGCATGTATTTATTAACAGTGGCATTACCCGTACACAATATCTGCTATTATAGTGGTGAAACTACTGCCAAGGAAGAGGGTGTGGCCGCACGAGGTTCCGCGAACTGAGGGATGCCAAATTATGGTGACCAGGCTCCTGTTAGACAGCAATCTGCAAGCGAGTTTAGGTCACTGCCCCAGTTAATGAGAATGCTGCACAGGGACAGTGAAGAGAGAGGAGAATGCATATAGGAGTATAGGACAGTATGTAAATTATAGTCTGCATGTGTGTATGTGCTTGTGTGTGTATCTGTTTGTATGAGTGAGTGACTGAGTGAGTGAGTGTGTGTGTCAGTATGTATATCTGTGAGTGTGTGAGTCTCATTGTGTATGTTTATCTGTGTGTCAGTATAAATCTCTGCAAATACCAATGTTTCATACAAACACACATATTAGATCACCAACAATATATACAAACACACACAAATGCAAACCTGCTTTCAAATGGAAACAGTATATACAAACACACAACTGCATTCATATCCCAACACTACGAAGAAATACAACCCTACATTTACACACCAACTCCATTTAAAAATATGTTGACATTCAAACAGACAAAAAATACTCCCAAATACAACCCAGCAAGGATGGGAAAATGTTAGATCCCCAGCCAGAGGCGGCTCTAGACTTTATGAGGCCTTAGGCGAAACTCAAACATGAGGCCCCACTAACAAAAAAGTGTCACATATACACATTGATGCACAGTTTACCTGTGTATGTGCCTGAGAGTGTGTCTGACAGAGTATCCTTGTGTGTGAATGTATGTCTCTGTGAGCATGTTTGCGTTTTTGTCTGAGACCCTATGTGTATGGGGTAGCTGCTTGAAGTGTGTTGTGTGTATGGGGGGGTGATGGTGAGAAGGAGAGGCGGGTGATGGTGAGAGATGGTGGGGGGTGATGGTAATGTAAGAGTGAGGGGGGTAATGTGAGAAAAAGGGGGGTAATGTGAGAAGGAGGGGGGGTAATGTGAGAAGGAGGGGGGGTGATGTGAGAAGGGGGACCACCTTTACTCCCTGGTGGTCCAGTGGGCTTCCTGGTGGTCCGGTGGCCATTGCTTCTGGTCTGCAATTCCGCAGAGCTGCAGACCATGTAATCTGCGGCAACGCTCTGATTGGCCAGTTTTCGCGAGACACATGGTCTGCAGCTCTGCTTACTGCGGAGCTGCAGACCGGTGTCTGTGGTGGCTGGCCGGGCAGCCAGGTGGGGCCTCGCACCCGACGGCATACAGGGCAAGCCGCTGGGTCCCCTCCTGGTATCAGGTCCTCGGTCAGTGACCGAGGACCTGACACAGTCTGCCCACAAGCAGCTTAGGCAACTGCAAGGCCCCAGCCAGCGCAAGGCCTTAGGCGGCTGCCTAAACCGCCTAATTAGAGAGCCGCCTCTGTCCCCAGCTTACAAAGCATTGAGGGAGACATACGAGAGATGGGAATCTACCTTTGGCCACCCTTGCATTGCAGAATACCCAAAAAAATTTTTGCATCAGGGCCCTCGCTCCATTACTCTTGCCACTGTGCTAGTGCATTATTAAATATTATTGATCAGATCAGTAAAGCCCTGTGTCTGCATGCCCTCAGTTTCTTTGAAACCTGTCTCATATCTGTCATCCACACTCCCCATGTCTCTCTGCTATGCTCGCTACATCTCTCAGTCTCAGGCTAACATTTATTCTGTCCAGCTATATTCTTCAATCCCTCTTCTACTTCCCTCACCCTCAGCTATAGTTCCATTCTTTTCCCACCACTAATGGACATTTCGTCCCTCTCATCCACATGTGCTCCTTCAGCTATCCAGCCACAAATCCTTTCTCATGCACGTTAAATTTCCTCCCTCATCACCTTAGCATAGGCAAACACTAACAATTTTGTAAGTCTTAGACAAGAAATGTTTGTGAAGCCCTTTCCTAACCCAATCTAAAACCTTTCCTGGTGCTAGAGACCCTGATGATCCAGCTGTGGTAAAACACAGGAATTTCATGCAGTTAATATGTTATAATGCACACCTATCTCTTCTCTCTCTGTCATTAAACCTGCTCACTCACCTTCACTGCATAGCAGTTATATTCTCTTTTCCTCAGCCTTATACAAAGCCTCATTGCTGTATTCCTTCCTTTATATCCTGTGGGGATATTTATGGGATAATAATAGTAAACAGTGAGAATTGCCCACTAATTCAATTCTCAGATCCCAAATATCGTTATCGTGTTAAGTGGAATGTATTTCATATAAATAATATCACAATTTTGTTATAAAAATAGATTTATTTTATAATAACAAATTAATTAATAATAATATGTAACATGCGTGACAATAATCAATGAATATCCAGTATAAAATGATATGCAATACAATGGAATGGGTATACACGTTTCAATGGCTAAACAGCATTTTCTGTCAAGACTTACACAGATTTATGAGGTATCCTTACAGACACAGAAAGCTTTTCACAGTGAAGGGCCATAAAACCCTGGCTAACAGTTAGAATAACTGAATAACCCTTTCAATGCTGGCTAGATCTCCTAGGTAATTAAGATCTAGTCTTATGTAATTTTAAATAAAATAACATTTAAACCAGTTCATTAGTCATTTCCTGGAACCATCCAATAAGAGAATCTACCATGTTATATAAGCAGATTTTAATTTGTCTAAAAGATATCTCATCTTATTTTAGAGCAAATCAATACACCTGGATAGAAACAGCAGTATGCTAACAGTCATAATATCACATCAATATATAATTATTCTTAATTCCACCTGCAGAATGGAATGTTTATAACTATATATTCTTTAGTTAACTAAGATTTCTTAATATGGAAATCTGACCGTGCTTTATCCAGTCATACATCATGCTATTAGTACATTTTAATTAATTTAATTAATTAAATGAAACCAGTATAATTACCAGTTGAGTAGATATTTCATCCGATTGGTAGATAGTCTCAGGAACTTATTTGGATGTCTGTAGGTGCATGAGTTATGGTGAAAGGTGGTGTTGGTTAGAAAGTCAGTAAAATTCTAAGTGTTAGAGTTTTAAGAGTAGAGTGTTAGTCTCAGATGTTGTCCTGGGTTTCTCTGCATGTCCGAGTTGGAGTCCCCAAACTTCCAATTCCTATCTCCTCTTTTTCCTCCTTTCAGCCCTCCGTCTTCCCTTTGTCCAAACTTTTAAAGGGCCAGACTCTCTGTACGTCATCAGTTGATAACCCAATAGAAGCACTAGAGGTGTGCTTATTTAGGGATCACAATTTAGGTAATTGTTCTATAGAGGGCAGTCTTGTCCCACTAAACATACCTATCCAGGAAAGAGTTAACTTTTCCTGGTGGCTATTTTGACGTCATTTTGGCCTATCTTTCTAGTGGCCATAATTTAAATTTGCTGTCAGTTCAAACAGTTTCTCTTAGTTTTGTCCAGACTTAGTGTCTGCGATTCCTGCTATAATTTCTGATATGGCAGATCATGAACTAAGTTTAACCTTTTCCGTACAATGGTACCTTATACATATAGAAAGTAAAATTAAATTATTTAATCTTCTCTGTCACAAATGTCTGGGTTTAGAATTGATCTATTCCATTACCATTTAGACAGTCTATCCAACCCCCGTTCTCCTTATCACTTGGTTTGTTTATACTATGCATTCCTTAAGCTCGGGCAAAGTGGTTAGTTTTACAGATAGAAATCTTGTGTCTTTTGTTAACTTGGAAATAACAAAATGGAGTCTGCTCTGTTCAGAGTGACTCAGAATATACACTTTTAATTTCTATCATAGCACAAGATGTCTGCCGATATAAATACCCTGACAATCCATATATTAGGAGGTTCTACAGGCTTCAAAATGTTACCACCAGTAAGGTTCCTTTTTTTACTGTCCTATATTCCTTCTCGTTTGTATATTCTACGATGCTGTGGTTGGCTCTCCTACACCACTCTGCCTCACCCCTTCTGCTGAAGGTTGTTCTATGTCTCCTGGAATGGTCCCTTTTTAATTTTTTTAGCCCTAGCAGATTTCACAGAGCAGCATAATATAACAGGTTTACAGACACGTTTTTGTCAATCTTTCTTTTATTGAGGCAAAGTATAAGAATAAAGAAAGTGGGTTATTGCAGGTGGGTACATATCAGATATACAGGTGTAGCTTACATTATAACAGAGCATAACAACCTCTTTTTTTTTTTTTAATATTAAACAAGCTAGTACTAATAGACCTGTTACTAGACAGATTAAACGATGAGTAAACTAATAGAGAATAACCATGCTAAGAACAGGGTATGTCAGGCTGATATAATTAATAGAATTTGCATATTATACGCTAAATATACATGTTTAGCTTGGCAGCATGGCATATTGGTACGTTGGGTTTAACTATTTAGACTGAAGATAGGAAAAATAAAAACAAGAGAAATGAGAATTCTCTACAAAACTGGTATGTCTGTGTGTGTCAGTATGTCTGTGTGTGTCAGTGTGTCTATACGTCTGTCAGTGTATGTGTCTGTGTGTGTTTCAGTATTTCTGTTAGTATATGTCTGTGTGTGTGTCAGTATATCTGTCAGTGTATGTGTCTGTGTGTGTCAGTATGTCTGTGTGTGCATGTATGTATGTATGTGTGTCTGTATGTCTGAATGTGTGTCAATATGTCTGCCAGTATATATTTGTGTGTCAGTGTATGTGTGTGTCAGTATGTATCTACAAATGTGTCTGTCTGTGTGTGTATTGTGTCAGTATGTCTGTCAGTGTATATGGCTGTGTAAGTATGTTTTGAATCTCTCCACTTTAGTTTCCCCACTGCATTAGGGTGAAAAGGGTGAAAAGTGTGATTGGGGGTTGGATGTAATTGGGGGGGTGGGAGGGGCAGGGCCCAGGGTGCCCAAGAAAATTCTTTGCCCACGGTCCTATTCATATTATAGACGGCCCTGTTCCTACACCACGTTTGGTAGGTACTAACCACTGCATACTGGGAACACCCCACAAGACTTGACACTTTGGAGTAATCTCTTCATCACTATTTGGCCTTTGTCAGAGCCAGTCAGAAAGTATACCCTTTGCACCCCATTCTCCACCAGATGACACAAATCAACATCCTTTTATTGCAATTATTTGTTATTCTTCTTGTTTGTATAGTGCTTGTTACCATTTTGGTCATCTAATTCCCAATTCACTGTCATTTATTTTCACTCTCTCTCATCTCCTTAAAATAAAGATTGACAGATTGACTGCCACTGTGCCAAACAAACGAAAAAAGGGATACAGCTTGATTTTAAAAAGAATCAGAACTAAACGTACGTAGTGTACTATCATAACAGGTTTAGACACCTACTACTAAATTGTACTTACAAGATAAGTAGAAAACATCCAGCTCCAGGGTGCCTATCCTAATATTCTGGAGGGGATCAGTGCTTCTGGTTTTCTTTGCCTCATTACCATTGTGTTCAGCGGGATAAAGCAAATGTACATTTCCTTTTTTTATTACTTATCTTTAAAAGAATAATAACTCAAAATATAAATAAGTGGTTCAATCCTTCCAAAGCATTTCATACTATTAAAGGACTTCTTTAGTGACCCAAAGCACATTAACCAATACATATAGCATGCAAACCATACAATAACCTCCCTATAAAGTCCCTTTCTAAAATGTCCACAATCTTAATTTTAATCGATGGTCAGGTGGGTGTATATCTTCTCTCCACCTAGTCATTAATTCTACAATTAGCTCTAGCAATGATGATTGCATCTCACAGATTCCCATGTGCTTTCTAAAAACAATTACATGAGCATTCCACCTGCCAATCTGCATTCCACCACACAAGTATACAATAGTACCAACCTATGGCATTTACAATATAGATACTTATGCCAATGAAGACATAGCATTAGGTAATTACGGTAGATAACCCCTATTAAAGTGCAAATACATTTATAATAACATAATATGTATAAAATTAATTATTAAATGACATAGTTACTCTTATTTATCTGCTAATAGTAATAAAGACAATGCTCTCAGAACCTCTGAACCGGGGAGAATGGACCAATCAAATGCTTTTATATGAGAAGAAGATAATAGAAGATAATTACGAAATGCTCTGCAGTGCCTATTATGCTAAGAGTGTTTCTTTAACCCCTTAAGGACACATGACGTGTGACATGTCATGATTCCCTTTTATTCCAGAGGTTTGGTCCTTACGGGGTTAAAAGTTTTCGAAGTACACTTTTTGTATTATATATATTTCCAGCTATTGAAATTGCATATGCATCATTAGTAAGTAGCTGACAGTGTTTCCTCAAGGCAGGCAAAAAAAAAAAAAAATACTTTGGAAAATATATAATCCATCATCTAATCTTAACCCATGATAAACAGAGTATGTAACAAATTAACTTTTTTTCAGGTATCTTTCTGCTTCTTCTGATGTGTGCCAAGGCTCAGTGTGAGACTGTTCCTGGGTGACACTGTGATCTGTAATCATTATAGGTATGGCATCGCTATGGCTACGGGATCTGGTAAGTACCCAATAATCGCCATCATTCATGGTAGAGTATGCAGAACTCTTAGAGTGCCCTGTGTGTTAGTATGTCCTCTATCCCGTGGTCTATGTAATTAAGTCACAAGAAGCAATGCATTTGTTATACAAAGTATTATAAAAAAAAAAAAAGTTACTGTTACTTGTTTTCTGGACTTTAATATCTAACACAGTTTTTTTTTATTAAATGGCATTCCAGCTTGTAATATGTACTGTTTCTATATCGTTTTGTAAGTATAATATGTCATCTAATCCTTTTGGCTTCGAAGTTCTCTTATAACATTGGAATTTTAGACACTGTTACACTAACAGTGCAGAACTGGACACAGGAAGAAAATAGAAGGAAAGAAAATTAGAATTTGCAAGTAGGAAATTACTTTTGCAATTTTCCATCTAAAACAGTCAGTTTATAAAACATGTACTTTGGGGGAGAATTATGGTAGATTGTTTCAATTTATCTTCTTAATATGAAACTATTTAAAAGTAGCTTTAGTCTTTAGTTAATGTTCTACAGCTATGCAGTACTAAAGAGGATGGTTCTACCTCATCACACCTAAATAAGTTGGCCTTGTGATGGATGACTGCCTCTGGCACCATGAGTTTTGACCTTTCACTCAAAAAGGAGCACAAAAAAAAAAATTTGAGAGGGGAATTCATGCCATTTTAACAAGAGGACATACATCAAACCACATCATTTCGTAAAGGCAAAGCTGGTAAAGCTTTTAGATAGTGGGGCACCAGACTCCTACCCCAAAATTTTACTCCTCACTATACAATACAGAGATCCTCATACAATACACAGAGCTGAGCATAATACAGAAATGCTCAAACAATAAAACATGCTTGACATAGCATAAATTTATAAAATACAATACAGAGATAACCATACCACAAACGGAGCTGAGTAAAAATAGAGATATAATACACAGAGCTGGGTAGACTACAGAGATACCCATACAACAGGCAGAGCAGAGTAAAATATAGAGAAATAACACACAGAGCTGGATACAATAAGGAGGACTTATAACTGTCTCACACAGCCAGGATCACTGTGATGCGGGGGGAGGGGGGTGCCTGAGTTTTGTCCTGCCTAGGGCAGCACAAAACCAGGATACACCACTGCCTATGCATATAGTGCAGTGCAGGGTGTGTATAATGAATGTAGTGTGTTTGTAGTGAATGCAGAGTATGAATAATAAATGTAGTGTGTTTGTAGTGAGTGCAGTGTGTATAATGAATGTAGTGTATTTGTAGTGAGTGCAGTGTGTATAATGAATGCAGTGTGTTTGTAGTGAGTGCAGAATGTGTATAATGAATGTAGTGTGTTTGTAGTGAGTGCAGAATGTGTATAATGAATGTAGTGTGTGTAGTAAGTGCAGTGTGTATAATGAATGTAGTGTGTATAATGAATGCAGTGTATTTGCAGTGAGTGCAGAGTGTGTATTATGAATGCAGTGTATGTAGTGTGTTTGTAGTGAATGCAGAGTGTGTATAGTGAATGTAGTGTATTTGTAGTGAGTGCAGTGTATATAATAAATGTAGTGTGTTTGTAGTGAGTGCTGAATGTGTATAATGAATGTAGTGTGTGTAGTGAGTGCAGTGTGTATAATGAATGTAGTGTGTTTGTAGTGAGTGCAGAGTGTGTATAATGAATGTAGTGTGTTTGTAGTGAGTGCAGTGTGTATAATGAATGCAGTGTATTTGTAGTGAGTGCAGAGTGTGTATTATGAATGCAGTGTATGTAGTGTGTTTGTAGTGAATGCAGAGTGTGTATAGTGAATGTCGTGTATTTGTAGTGAGTGCAGTGTGTATAATAAATGTAGTGTGTTTGTCGTGAGTGCAAAGTGTGTATAGTGAATGTAGTGTGTTTGTAGTGAGTGCAGAGTGTGTATAATGAATGTAGTGTGTTTGATGATGTGTGTGTGTGCTGGATGATGTGTGTGTGCTGGATGATGTGTGTGTGTGTGCTGGATGATGTGTGTGTGTGTGTGCTGGATGGTGTGTGTGTGTGTGTGTGTGCTGGATGATGTGTGTGTTGTGTGTGCTGGATGATGTGTGTGCTGTGTGTGCTGGATGATGTGTGTGCTGGATGATGTGTGTGTGTGTGTTGTGTGTGCTGGATGATGTGTGTGCTGGATGATGTGTGTGTGTGCTGGATGATGTGTGTGTTGGATGATGTGTGTGTGTGTGCTGGATGATGGGTGTGTGTGTGTGTGTGTTGGATGGTGTGTGTGTGTGTGTGTGTGTTGGATGGTGTGTGTGTGTGTGTGTGTGTTGGATGGTGTGTGTGTTGGATGGTGTGTGTGTGTGTTGGATGGTGTGTGTGTGTGTGTGTTGGAAGATGTGTCTGTATGCTTGTTGATAGGGGGGGAAGCATTTTTTTTAACTTCATGTGTATTTTTTATTTTATTCCCCCCTCCCTGCTTCTTACCTTGTCAGGGAGGGGGAGATCGCCTGGTGGTCCGGTGGAGGGAGCCAGCCGCTGCACAGAGGGGCCATCACACGCTGTGTTCCCGCTCCAGCTCTAACACTCGCGAGACTCGCCTGTGCGGAGCGTTGCCATGGTAACCCGTGGCAACGCTCTGACAGCCGCGGGTCTCGCGAGAGTTATAGCTGGAGAGGGAACACAGCGTGTGATGGCCCCTCTGTGCAGGTAGCAGGGCCGGTCCTGCAGGACTGCTAACGGGAACAGCGTTCCTGCTTTGGAAAAAGTACAGGAACGCCGTTCCCATGCGTTCCTGCAGGACTCGAGCCCTGCCCACACAGTACATGTCTCTGTAAAATGCTTTAGATCTATCTTTCTGTCTATCTATTTATCTATCTAGCCCTCTCTTAGCTCTTTCATACATGATCTTATCTTCAGTACTGTTCCTGCTATGATACCTTTAGATTTCCACTACATATTGCTGCTGTTATGAAACAGGTAATCTATTCCATTAGCGCTCAGCACACATTGTGCACATGGTTAAAGCATCAAGTTTCTAATAGAGTTCTTATTACCTTTGCAGCTGACAATATAATTAATCTGCAGTGGTAATATGGAGCCAAGAAGTAGATAACATGGTTAACAGATTAAAACAGATTGAAATCAGAATCAGATACATCCTCTGAGTCCCAGTCCCAGTCCTGTAGTTTGAAGCTTAACAACTTTTGAACTAGCCACAGCGTGAGTGTCTTAGCTGTAGAGTGACTGAAAAAATATGGTGGGTATGGTGCAGTAATAGTTATTAAAACTATTAATGACAGACAGCATAGTGCTGTGTGTCAGAAATGTCCCCCCTCCCCTTGTTACCATTGAGCTTCCTAGGCTTTATATAAATTAATTATATATTTGAGTAAATTCCCTTTCCTAATCATCCCTCAGGCAGTCACTAGGGCTATTGTGTGAGAGAAAAAGATAATATTATGCACTTATATTTAACAGGTCTGCTGCTGTGCTCTCTCTATGTTACTTCCAAGATGGCATCTTGCTTCTCTCACCTGTGACCAATGAGACAATAATAGTCCCTGAATAGGGAGGCCAATAGCTTGTTTGTAGTCATGGGCAGCTGGCTCTGCTGCCCTAATGGCAACTCAATTAAAATTCTGGAAATTCCTTTATAAAGGACACTAGGCATGTGCAAATCCTGCTGAAACTGGGCAGATTTCAAACCTGCCCCATTTTATTACATGCCAAGGTTGATCTCAAGAAAGCTTCTCCAAACAGCTACCAATGAGGGTAGAGAGGCCCCGCAGAAGTTAAACCTATTACAGAATTAAAGAGACACAATGTTTTCCCCATATTTCTTTGCTTACTATACTCCCCTTCAGAAAAAGAATCTTAGTGTTTCTAAACCCCACATAAGAACTGATGGGGCACTGCCTAAAGTACATCCCCCGCTTTACTTGCATCAACGACCAGAAAGAAGAGACTCTGGTTTGGTAAAGTTTTAGCTGCTGTACACATAAGGAACAAGCGCCAGAAATCTCACTTGCTGCTATAACTGCCCAAAGTACCCCATATGGACGAGCCTCCCCTGAGTGCAATACATGTTTTGCATGTGTGCACCAGGTGAATTTCTCATTTGTGATTTTAAATAAATAATTATTGGCTCCAGTTTTCTGGACAGCTATTAAATGGACACTCTAAGTACTATAATCACTACAGCTTAGTACTAATAATGATATTATTACTCTAGACGCATGTTCCTGGTTTCTGTAAAACCATTTTGCAGCAGTTTGAAAAGGCTCCGTTTACCACCCCCCTATCCCCCTCATTCCCCCAACCAAACACCCAGAATAATCCATTACATTTTTGCATTATCATGGATGACAATGACAGCCTGGGATATCCATGTATTCAGTTCATGGACCTTTTTTAAGAAATCATTTTCCTAACGTTTCCACTCGCCCTTTCTGACGGCCATCTTTATACACCTATGGCTGGTTGTCAGCTATCTGATCCACTGATCGCTATTTTGCCACTGTCTAAATCAAAGTTTTTCTGCCTTCCACATATAGGATATATTGCCCTTTGGAAATGCAATAGGACAACTATATTGGTAAAATGTGGTTAATATCCCTTCATACTATTTCCATACTTTAGCTTGTACAGCTAATGATTAGCAACCAGGATTGTGTGATTCTGACAGGGTTATTCAGTAAAAGTGAGAATTCAAAGTGAATTTTAATGTAAATTCAAAATAACCAAATAAGAAAATATCTAAATCAGCTATGCTTTCAGTTTGGCTACTCTGGCCTTAAATTTGAAATTCATTTTAAATTCTCACTTTAGTAAATAACCCTTTGAATATTTGTTATATTATGTGCAGTTATGTTTTCTAATTATATTAATCAGATTCAATATCGTGGCCTCTTATTGATGATTTTCGTTCTGGGTATTGGAGGCTCCTTCCAGTACGGGTTCCATATCTCTGTTTTGAACTCTCCCTCTCTGGTGAGTACTGTCTACAGAATCACTTGCAAACAGCTATGTAAAGAAAGCAGCATGTCATACCAATCCAAGACTCCAAAAAACAAAAGTGAGAAGCATTTGCCATTCACTGATTTCAGCTAAGTAACTCATAATACTACACTAGCATTCAGGGCCGCCTTCAGGGGCTACAGCCAGTACAACTGGGTACAGCACAGGGAGAGAGGAATAAGCAAACACTGCTCACTCCTCCCAAGCCCTTATCCAACACACCACACACTGCATGCACTACACACACAGAGACACTAAATCCACTATATACACCGCTTCCACTATACACACACTTCATTTACTACAAAGACATTGCATCCACTACACAAAACACACTAAATTAACTACACACTGCATCCACTAAAACTCACACACTGCATCCACTACACAAACACACACACACACACATACTACATTTACTGCACAATGAAACACTGCATCACATGCATACAATATACAAACACAGAGACTGCATTCACTACACAAAAACAGACACTGCATCACCTACACATACAGGGGGCCCAGGCCTTGAGATGTGTAACGGCCCCAAAATTCCTGATAGCATCCCTTCTAGCATTTACCACAGGGATCTACGATGAAATACTAAACATCCAATCCAGAGAAGAAAATTGTCTCTGTTCTCCAGTTCCATACATCGACACAGACTGAAACAATCAAACAAAACTCATCAAATGAAAACTACCTAAGTGGCATTTTCCCATACTGCTGAGGCCATCTCAAAACTAAAAAAATGCAACTGCAGATAAAGTGAATAGGTTGGTAAAAGGTTTGATAATATGGTGCGTATATTTCTATTCCAGTTTATAAAGGAGTTCATCAATGACACATGGATACATCATTACAGCAAACCCATGGGGGAAAATTCACTGAGGATTCTTTGGTCATTCATTGTATCAAGTTACTGTATTGGAGGCATGCTAGGGTCTCTGTGGTCTGGATATTTCACGTCTAAATATGGAAAGTAAGTGTTCAAATGAATGAAGACATAACACAAGGGAGAATATGGTAGGACTTTGTCTTTTTTACAATTTCTAAATTAGCAATTTATACAATCAAATTTCTAGTTCATTCAGTCCAGAGGAGAATTAAAAACCCAATGATGGTATCTAACAGCAAGCTACAATTGTTACCAGTACACAATGTGGTGCTAAAATATTGCGCACTATTGGACACATAACTGGTCAGGTTTCACAACGGTGATCAGATTGCTGATAGAAACCCTTTTCTAGTTTACTCCGTGACTTTCTCCTTAAATTAAAGTTGAGATATAGAAGCAGGTTTACGTCAAATAGATTCATAATTCTCAGCCTTATTGAGGAGAGAAAACATGGCTATAATACCACAAACTTCGCTTCTTCTTTTGATTCACTCTGCTAGCCCAAAACTGGCACTCAATCCAATAAACAAAAAATTTAACTTCTAGCTTTCATTTACAAAGCCTTTCATAACCAACTACCAGACTAGTTCTTTCAGTCCTTATCTTCAATCACTCCCTCAAGATTAATTTATATACTCATACAATGCCCTCCATTATTCTGCTACTTCTATTTCTGCACGTAATACTGAGTCAGCACATTTAAGCTGCTGCCCAACTCTGGAGCTCCCTGCCACGTAATCTTGGGCTTTCTATTTTAATTGCTCGCCAAGATTCATTTCTAAAAACTTTTAAATATTTTTTTCTACTAATCCAGTCACCTAAAAGCTACATAAAATCCCCAATCTAACCAATATATTGTTTTCTGTTCTTACTCTGATACGTGAGCCCCACCTGTTCCCTCCTAGATTGCAAGCATCAGAGCAAGCTAATCTCCCGCATTATCTGTGTCTGAACGTCAGATTCTTCTGTTAAACTTTACACGTTACAGCTTGCCCAGCATAATGTCTCAAGGCTATATAAAGCAATGATGATAATCTTGCGCGATGATTTAATAATATATTGTTGTTATTATACATTTACACACTAGCCATCACAATGCCAGGTATTATATATTTTATAGACAATATGAAAATTCTGAGACTTTGTTAAAAGCAGCAGCTATTGCTGGGGGCTTTAACTGTTGGCAGTTAAGCACAAAGGAACTTTTTTTTCCTGGAAAGCTTAATGGGCCTCAAAATATATATACTTGTTTAGAAAGTACCCTTTTTATTATTGTCTATGGTTCACCTGACGCTTTTCACCAACAACGCAAGGACTTAAAATGTTTGTCTTTTTTTAATTTCTGATCTATTTCTATTTCAAATATAAGATAAAACAGGGACTTCTTTGTCTTATACATTTTTCCTATGCTTGACAAATCTTGACAAAGGGTGGAGATTAAGGCAAGCTTTTACATACAACAAAGGGTGAAGCTTGCTTTAAGCTCTACCCTTTGTCAATTGTCATAAAAAAAGTAAAGCTGGCCCTTTCTCTAACTGCTACGTTAAACCTTTCAATAGTCTGAACTGCTAGATTTTTTGAATTTACCGCATAGGTCCTAAAATGCCTACCAACTGGAGATATTGTGTTATAATCAGAAATAGTCCTTACATGCTCACATATCCTGTTTTTGAGAGGTCTCTCAGTCCTCCCACTCCCAACTATTATGCTACTTGGGTGATTTGGATTGGAACTCAACTGCAGCTTGTAAAACTCCCTGATTACAATAGTGAAGAAATGGAGAATCTTTAAAGTACCAATACTGTAGCTTTAAGAAAAGAGAGAATTGCTGGTAACTTGATTCAAACTAAGTTTTAATAAGTATTAAACTTAAATTAATTGCATTTAAGCAATAATCCAATAAGAAGTGCAATTAATTGTTGATTAATTGCACTTCTTATTGGATTATTATAACACAAAGTTCATTAATAAGTATTTCCTCAGAGATGCATTAAGTAACATTCTTTAGGTTAATAAGAATAATCTTCAATAGTAACTTTAAGCAAGTAGCTGAGAATATTTGCAAAACAGGAACAGTTCATAGTTAATAAGCATGATGGGAGTTGTCCTCCATACAATTAGTAGCTTGAAGCACTGAGTGTATTTGCAAAGCAAGAAACAGTTGATTGTGAATAAGCATGATGGGAGTTGTCCTCCATATAATTAGTAGCTTGAAGCAGTGAAGATTTAGTAAGCAAGCATTAGTTCATTATTAAATGATATTGTAGACAAACAGCTGAAAGATATACTTAAGGTTAATGTGAGTAGTCCTCCAATAGTTCAGAGGTATGGTCCACTTGTAAAGTAAGTGAGTTTCTGTTATCCAGTAATCCACTATGGCATGAAGTATACTTTTCTTAGCCCAGAAGGCTAGGACGACATCAGAGCTTGTAGAGGCGGTGTGTATACCCGGAAGTAGGTCCCACAATCACCAAGCGCCTTCTCCCTGGCGCGGTCTCCCTAAGTACTGTCAGAGCCGCGTCAGAAGGGGGAGGGGCCGGCTCCGCAATACGGAAGTGCCGAACCCGGAAGAGATACCGCATGACACCAACTTACAGTATTTGACATATCTTATAGGTTATTAAATAACAAACAATAATTACATTAATTGTTGCAGTAATTATTCACTTTATACAGCTTCCCTTTCACAGTGCATTTAAAGGAACATTATAGTGTTAGGGGCCATGTGAACTGAGTGTGTGTGAGTGTGTATGGGTGCGTGTATATGTGTGTATGAGTGTGTGTATGTGTAGGAGTGTGAGTATGAGTGTGTGTATGTGTATGAGTGTGAGTCTGTGTATGTGTAGGAGTGTTTGTATGTGTATGAGTGTGAGTGTATGTATGAGTGTATGTGTGAGCGTATGTGTATATATATGTCAGTGTGCTTCTGTGTCTATGTGTGTGCACACATCTGTGTTTGTGCATCTGTGTGTCAGGGTGTGTGTTTTTATGTCAGTGTGTGTATCTGTTTCATGGTGTGGGCATGTACCAATGTTTGTGTGTGTCAGGGTGCATGTGTGTATAAGTTGGTGTGTATCTATGTGTATGTATGTGTTGGTGTGTATCTAAATGTGTGTATGTATGTGTTGGTGTGTATCTATATGTGTGTATGTATCGGTGTCTATATGAATTTGTGTGTATGTGTCGGTTTATTTATATGCATCTGTGTGTTAATGTGCATGAATATCTGTGTAAGTATGTATGTATGTATATATGTATGTATGTGGTAATGTATGTGCACACTTCTAATCAGTCAAACACTAGCACATCATACAAGCACACTCCTGCAATCTAACACAAATATTACATACAAACACACCACTTCATTTAAACACAAATACTTCACACAAATGTACATCCACATTTAAAAGTGAACATTACATTCAGACACACCCCTGCAATCAAACACAACACAAACATTACATACAAACACACCCCTGTAATAAAACACAATAAATGTATACAAGCACTCCTTCAAGCACCAACACTGTACATTACACTATAGCGCCAGTAAATGCTGCAGCGCTGTACAGATATACAACCTAGAAATTTAGACTTAGGGTGCCTTGTAAAAATACTGAAATATTAAGGGCGCCTTGAACCTTGAACCTAAAAAGTTTGGGAACCACCGAAGTAACCAAGTGTTACCACTAATAACTAGGGCGGAGCATATTGGCCAGGGATTTACTTCTCCTGGCTGAAACGTACAGCCTCTTCCAACTAACTGTTCTAAATTGGGGCTCTATAGACAAAATAGGGAGACAAGATTTTATGGCTTTGCTTTTTATGGCCATGACTTTTGCGATATATCTATAAAATCTACTATTCTCTCAGCTTTTAACATTTTATTACCATTATAGCCCCTATTAAGTAAACTGGTAAGCAATAAAGCTGCCTGCCTCTGATAATCAGTGTCCCTTATGCAATTCCATTTTAAACAAATGAATTACCCTTTGCCAAATGAATTCTTAAGAGGGTCCATTATAATTGAACCTGTTAAACTATCACCCCTCAATGAGAGAGACAAATAAATAATGTACGTTTTGCTCCAAACGTGTAAATTGCGTGAATTATTACTGACGTGAATATAATCTCCTCTTGGTGTAAGTTTTCTGATAAATAAGAAAATAATTTTCATGCTTCAAATTAAAATGAGAAGACATTTGACAAACAATTGTATCTATGTCCAGGAGGTTTCCTTTATTCAGGGTAAAGAGCGTTTAGGACGGGTATCCAATACTCCAACACTCCCCCCCCACGGATGTTGATGCCCTACAAATCCCATAATTCTTAGCATACTTTAGATGGCTAAAGCATCAAGGGAGGTGTAGTTCAGCAACCTCTTGGGGTCCAGAGTATGAGAAGCATTAATTAATATTATGTCTTATTCACAGAATTCTAATAGACAAACATTTGGCTGACATTTGCTTTGAATCTCCATTAATTAATTTATCTTGTCTTATGTTATAGAAAGCGGTGCCTGATCTATAGTGACCTAATCCCAATAGCAGCGGCGCTTTTAGTTGGCTGCAGTAGAACTTCCAAGTCATTTGAGATGATACTGATTGGCCGCTTCCTTTATGGTATAAATGCAGGTAAAGATTCTTAGCTCTAAGGCACTTTACAGGCGCATGTTTGAAGATGGCAACATTATTAGAATATGTATCAGTATTTGATTACCTTTTCAGGGTTTGGTTTTAACATCCACTCTCAGTATGCAGGGGAAATTGCACATAAGAAACTACGTGGATTTACCAACACAAGTATCTCCATCTTTGTAACAATTGGAAAACTGATGGGTCAGATTCTTGGACTCAGGTGAGTGTTGCTACACAAAATGATTATAGTCCTGCTATACTCCTATTAGTATACAAATATGTTAGAATTCTAGAGATATCACCCACAGTACTTTGGACCAGAAATCCCTACACTGCACATTATATTTATTTATATATTTTTTCATTCAGTGAAATATTGGGCACCAAGTCGAAGTGGCCTCTTCTCTTGGGTCTGAATGGCATGTGGGCCCTGGTTCAGATGGTTGCACTCCCATTTTTCCCTGAATCACCATACCTCCTGATTGAGAGAAATGACAAGGATGGCTGTATGAAAGGTACTGACCAGAGTTAAGGGTACTGTGGAAGGACAATACAGTATACTCTTTATCTACATTTTACACACAAATAATTTGTTGTGGTTTAGCAATGATTTTTCTCATCAGCCTCAGACATTGGTCTGTAGTTAAGAATATACATTTGGCAACATGACTAAAAGTGAAGTCATTGGTTCCCATGGCAATAGGATTTTGGACCAAATATTTGCAATGCATAGATATATATATGTTAACCATGGCAGGTGTAATTTATTGAAAAAGAGTTCAAATATAATATGTGAACCCAATAATATGTTAAAGGAACACTATAGTGCAGAAATACAAATATATATTCCTAACACTATAGTGTAAAACTGTTTAGCTCCACAGCTCCCCTCAGATTGCTCTAAGAGGGTATTAAATTTACCTTATCTCCCTCACCAGGCCAGTCTCGCAGCAGAAATCAGCAATCTTAGTGATCTCAGTCAATCCAATGCTTTCCCTTAGGAAAGCATTGAAAGGCTATTGCACATGCTCAGCCAGGCTGCGCCAATCAGCATTTCCTTATAGAGATACATTGAATCAATGTATTTCTATGGGGAACATTCAGGATCTCCATGCAGAGCGTGGATACGCTGAATACCAGTGCTGCACACTGTGCCGCACTGGGATACAAAGCACCTCTGGTGGCCATCTGAGTAACTGCCACTGGAGGTGTTCCTAGGGAGCAATATAAACACTGCCTACTCACCAAAGCACTACATTAAGCTCGTGTGGTTCTGGTGACTATGCTCATGCATTAAACTATCAAACATATGGCTGTAGGTATAAATGCTTTTGGCAATTACACGGTAACATCTAGCCTCTTCCCAGGTTGGAATGTCAAAAGATAGATCCTTCTCTCACTAACTGATATAATGGAATAACATTCCTGAATTTAAAAAAGACTTAAGACTCCCAGCTCAATGGTGTGCCTATCAGGACGGCACAACCCACAAACAGTAAGTACAGGATTTGCCAGTGGGAATAAAATATTATCATTATTTTTATTTTTTTTGTCAATCTTTCTTTTATTGAGGCATATGTTTATGGTGGTACAGAATAAAGAAGGGGAGACAGGCAAGAAATATACAGAGTGGGGTCATCACATCAAAGTTGAACATCTCCTGGAAATGACTGCCTCATTTAATGTTAAGTAAACAAACTTGAAACATTCTGAGTTGATGCGTCTGGACTATCTACATGCTTTAATAATTCAATGTATGCATTATCATGGTGGAAAGGCTGAGTGTTACCTTGCATCTAGTAAATGTGAGTGTAACACATTGTATGTAGAACTCTTAAGTTGTGTTATTAAGTACTGCACTGTAATATTCTGTAGCTTTTTATTTTTCACGTTGATATGCAGGGCCGTCTTTAATGTTGATTGGACCCTGGACAGGCATTTGCTTGGGCCCCTTGGTCCCCTCCCTCCCACCTTTTAGCATTCAAACACGCCTTCCACACAAAGACACACATAAAAAAAACACACACACACATATATTGGAGACTTAGCCACACTTATTTTTCACCTAGAGAAAATACACACACTGACACACATACAGATACACACATACACATGCTTAGACATACACAGGTACATCCATCCAAATACACAGACATTCAAAGACAGATACACAGACACACAGGTGCATACACAGATAAACACTGCGACACATAAAGATACACTCACTAACAAACATGCAGACACATACGTTACACACAGATAAACAGACAAACACAACTTGACATTTATGTAGATACATTCAATAACACACATACACGGATAAACATGCAGTTACACAGACACACACTAACACATACAAACACACTGAGACACATACAGATACACAGACACACACAGGAGCACACACTGACAGATATGCAGATTCAGACACACATACCAAGAGATACACATACAGACACACATGCAGGTACACAGACACACTTAATTACAAACATTCAGATACACAGGATGACACTCATATAGATGCAAACATTGACACACACAGATACAGAAGGGCACACACTGACACACAGATACACATATAGATGCATATACACATACAGACAGATACACAGATGGAAACACACACAGACAGATACATACACAGATACGCATACAGACAGACACATAAATATACATATAGACAGATACACACACAGATACACAGACACATGCATATACACATACAGTCACACAGATACACATGCATATAAACATACAAAAACATACACAGATACACGCATATACACATACAGACAGATACACACACACAGTCAGATACACACACAAACTGATATACAGACAGATATATACAAGCAGACATACATGGAAAATATACAATTTTTGTTACCCTCCTGTTTCCTACCTTTTGGGTGCAGGAGGATGACTTCCCTGGGGTCCAGTGGCTGTCTGAGGCTGTTGGGAGTTGGGCTCTCTCCCAGTCCGCGCTCCTCCTCTCTTCCTCCCTAGCACGCAGCACTCTCTGTGTTAGCTAGGTAGCGCTGACCTCATCACAGGGAGCCCAGTCGCGCTGTTAAAGCACCGCAGCGTTGACCGAGCCATTGCAGACTTATTGCTATCGGGTGGTCCTAAGAGCATGGGCCACCCGATGGGCCCCCCATCGTGTGGCCCATGGGGGTAGTACCTCGCGGGCCACATGCACCTCAGCGGCCGGCGGGCTCAAGGGGGAGCTGCTTTGGGCCCCCTACGAATGAATGGTCCCGGGGCAGCTGCCTCTTTTGCCCCGCGTTAAAGATGGCCCTGTGGATATGTGACTTTCATACAGGACATACTAAAAGGAATGACAGATTGATCTATGGGCATTTCAATCTGTCATTCCTTTTAGTATGTCCCCATTCACACACATGTATATATTTTCCAGTGCTCTGTTTTGATACCACTAACACTAGGTGTAATTTATTTGTTAATTTTACATATTGGCATTACTGATGAGTCTGACAGTAATATTCAGTGTTTTAGTTCTGCACTCTAAGTAATTTTTCATTATAAGCATTGATAATGCTTTATATCTTTATCTATCCAGCCCTGAAACAGCTGTGGGGAGACAGAGACCATGAGAGAGAGCTAGAGGAAATGATGAAAGAGCAAGCTGCTCGCAAGAGCGACCAAAGTCTAACTGTCAAGGGCTTGCTGGAGGACCGTTCTCTACGCTGGCAGATATACATGCTCATTGCTTTGACTATCGCTCTGCAGCTGTGTGGAGTCAATGCTGTGAGTTCACGTACTGCAAATCCTAGTATAAAGATGCTTAAGGATAAAGGAAATGGTGGTGAACTAAAAACAGGATTTCAAAATGTAGGCCAACTTTGACATGCAGAGCACATACAGACTCAAACTCTCCCATATCAAGATAAGTGTGCATGAATAAGATGCAATGTATCTATGTTATCCTCAATCTTCTCTACCAAGGCAGACTGTCTTTAGCTCCATACGACATGTAATAACATACCTCCACCCCTATTATCATGGCTACCATAGTATGGTACCCATACCATGGTAAACATAGTTTTAGCAAAGTATATGGAACGCTAAACTCCGAGAATTAGAAGGGTATTACGTTTAGCCTATGAATATGTATCATGATGGCTTTAACCTTGAAACTAATGATTTGTCAGAAAGCTTTCTCTTCCTACAGATTTATTTTTATGCTGCAGTTGTGTTTGAAGAAGCAAAATTTGATTTCTCGCAAATCCCATATCTGACAATAGGGATTGGTGTGTGTGAGTCTTCATCTGTGATCCTATGTGTAAGTAACCAGAAAATATATTCAATTTGTCATCTCACTGTCATACTATACTTTACCTTTCTTTTTTATTCTGTCCAAAAATAGTTGCATGTGGGCGGAGCCGGGCCGCCGAACTGAGAGGCAGCAACACGCTATGCCTCCAGGCCTGAGCCCGGAAAAAACCCGCAAAATAAGCGCCCACAACACCCTGAAAAGGATTTGGCGGATCCACATTTAACAAACAGCACCCAAGCTTCCTGGGGATCCCAAACAGAGGCAGATCTCAAGCAAGGAACACTGCAAACAAACAAGCAGGCCTTTGCACCATCACGCACATGAAAGATGGCGACCCCCGCCGACACGAACTGACAGGCAGACGGGGGGCAATGATATACCGGCCACAACAGCTACCTGGAAGAATTCTCCAAGGCAAGAGGCGGCCCGGCTCCGCTCCCCCCCCCCCCTTTTTTCCCCTATCCGGCTGGGGGTGGGGGGTAACCCATGCCAAATGGCGGCGGCACCCTCCAGGGCGGAAGATACCGCATGGGGTCCAAGCTGCCCGCCTAAACGGGTAAAGGCAACAAATACAGCCCGCCCGAAGACTTACCCCAGCAGGAGAAGCACCAAAAGGGACCAACATGGGTGGCTCACACGGGCCCTGGCAGGGCCAGGTGCCGGACGGATCCACCAGGCCGTGACCTCGACCACGGGAGAGGTGTGTGCCCGGGCATTTGGGTCAGGGCCTAGTCCCTGGCGCTGTGAGCCCGGTGGGGCGGGACTGTGCCGCCCCCCTCGACGGACCGGTGGTTGTGGGGGGCGGACGCCGGCTCCAAGCATGCGGCCGGCGTCGGGTGAAACGCAGGAACACACTCCTCAAGGGACCCAAGCGGGGCCGGGGAGGTGCAGGGAGCGGACGGCCGGAGGACCAACAGATAGTTTAAGCTCCCGAGTGCCCACGGAACTGTGGGGGACCCGACCGGTGAGCGGAGATCGGCGTGGGGGTGAGGGAAGGAGGCCAGGCACCCCAGGGACAGTGTGGAAGCAGCACCATGAGAGACTCCCCCAGACAGACATGGGGACGGACAGAGGCACCCTGTTGATGGATAGCTCGCATTTGTGTCTTAACAGCTGCATTCATTTTTTAAGTTTTTATCGATTTCGTTTATATGATGCAGGTTTAAAATACCAAAGGAATGTACAGTTAATACCAAAATGCCCATAGGGACCAAAGGTAGATACTGATGCATATTTAATTGCTGACTGCGGCATGATAGACTGTACAGTCGCTTATTACTGTAAACCTGATATCCAAATAGCTTTGTTATATATTAATGCAGCAAACTAAAAACAAATATGCTCCTTATGCTAAAAGTTGAAAAAGTTTTTGTATCTTAGATTATTGCTTAATGTCTGACTCCAATTAGCAAGCTGATTAATTTGCCTCTGCACAGGAGACAATTTGCATTTACCAGCTAGCAAACACGCAGCCCTGGCACACACCAGTTACCACAAAACACTTACTTAACGCTATAACCGAACTAAAAAGGCAACACAGTACATAAGAGTATAAAACACAAAGCAACCAACTGTGAACAAAAAACAGAGGCTAGGACAAATCCGCCTCTACGCAGGCAACCAAATGTATATGCAGTGTTAAACCAATGCTTAAGCCCCTGCGTGGGCAATCACTTGCTTTATTACAAATCAATTTGATGTATGACTTTATATTGTGCACACAATAAAAATATTCAAAACAAAAATAGTTGCATGTGGTAGCTTTCACTGTGAGTGTGTCTATTGTATGCACATGAACAAGAATCTATAGCATTCTAGAACATAATAAGTTTTAGATAATTTTGCTTAAACATTACTGGAGTAAACCCATGTTTAATATAATAACCACTATCAAACTATCATTGTTACATATCCCTTATTTATTTCTTCTTTTTTTACTCTGCATACCATCTCAACGCAAGACCTTTACCCTGTCCATTTTCATCCACAGAGTCTACTGGTGGATCGTTTTGGCAGAAGGGTTTTGCTGCTGGGTGGATATATAGCCATGGTGTTGAGCCTAAGTCTCCTTATAGCGACCCTCTCACTGCAGGTAACTCAAAGCATCATATGATAAGGAAAAACAATTATGTTGCAACCAGATTTAGATGCATCTAAATTTCTGGATTAGGAGAGGATAACATTTAACACAGTTATTGCATCACTAACACAACTAGAATGTTTACAGAAGAATCAACCAGTGTTTATTATGTGAAATGGAAAATGGAAATCAGAGAAGCACGTTTTACAATTTTTGGAAACTCAAGAGTGTACTGGCTCAGGTTTTTGTCACATGTGCAAGCACATCCATTTCTCTAAGTTGTAGTGGAATAGGGGCTCCATGAGCTTGCAGCTTAAATTGACACTGCGCCTAATTATGAACTTTGAATTTGCAATTTCGTTATCTTCTTCATTAAAAGCTATATGCACAAGTTTCTTAAACTGGAAATTTTAAGCACATAAACAGGCCTCCCAACAGTTCCGATTTTGGCCAATTTAGGGTCCTGTCCCACTGTCACAACATACTCAAGGTACTAGGACCAGGAGAGTGTAGAAACAGCACTTCCTGCATGCTCTGCCCTCAGTGCGCTGGCCTCTATGGTTGATAGGCAGCTTAGAATGCATTTATGCCGGTGTGACCTGCCTATTCTCTGGGAGGAACCACCCATTTTGGGCAGGGCTAGTGATATGATTCATGTCACTGGCCCACCTTCTCTTACCCCACCCACTGGCATCCTGTATTATGAGCGCTGACATTGGGGGTTGTGCATAAATTATAACTTACTAGCAGGATGAGGAAAATTAAGATTTGCTGAGTACAGTAGGTACTTAAGGTCACTATCTATAAACCATGGGGCACATGTAATTCATGTAATCCATTGTGTCATTATGATGCAAATTGTGGGTACTGGGCATGAAACAGGCATGGGCCTCTTATTTTTATACAGATTTTATATACAATGCCAAAGTTAGGATGGTGTTTCCAATGTTACTCAGCCAAGTAAGAGTTATCTGAAAATGTATATATTAAATGTATATATATAAATGTAGATATTATTTAATCTGTATAGCTGCTATCTATTTAAAGTGGAACTGTTACTCTATTAAAATGTTACTGGGGTGAATATTGCAGTACAGGTAAGAAAAGAAAATAAACTTGTCTCCTGTGAACTCGTGTTTTCTTGGCAACTTGTCATCCCATTAATTCTCAGGCATGTCCTAGTGCCGCTTCTGAGTGGAGGGTAATGGGGACACTAGGTCTCCCAATTTAATAGGTAGCACCCACCAACTGACAATAGGTAGGGACAAGGGTACATTAGGATGTCCCCCATTTTATTGAATAGCCCCCACATGTTGCCCCCCTTGTTATTTTTTTTCAAGCCCCATCACCATGGGAGTCACTAGTTTCTAGTAACAGTGAACATGACTGCTGACTCATATCCATCCCACCGTTGCCCCAATAACACACCTTTTAAAGTGGATAAGGGCAACAGCCACAGCTTTATTAAACATAGTAAATTCTTAACTCCTGTCAGCTTTTGGGTGAGAGCCCAACAGACAGTTCTCCATACTTATTCTCTAAGAGCCCAACACAGCCGTCACTAGCCATCAGCCTTGCGCCGACTGTAGTCTCCCCAAGGTGCCCTTGCGTCATACTCCTTTCTTTTTGATTACGCTGTCCAGGGGAAACTGCCAGCTGTGACAATAAGAAAACACAAAGAGAAACCACACAACACACCACAAAAGAACAGGGAGGGAGGGTGGAAAATTCAGTCATGGTCTTTGAACAACTCCTGCTGACTGGTAAGTCCCCTCCCCATCTCTCCTTTTTTAACTCCTCCAACACTTGCAACATTGTTGCTACTTAACTCCAGCCCACCATCCTGGGCAGCAGTCATGCTCCACCTCCACTATTTGTCCAGGGGGAAACTGTAAGTTGTTTAGTTGATATGCCACACATGCAACATGGCAGGTGGGGGAATAAGGGACGTTTTCAACTTTGACCGACTAACAGTACTTTAAATTATTGTGCGCTTGCAAAAAGCAAGTGAACGCTAATTTGTGTAGTGCACAATGAAGGATGCATTCTGTCTCTGTAAAATCAGTACACAGTCCCAATCCTATACTTTGTATAAAGTTCAGATGTAAAAATTTTCAACTAAACACCTAATTTCATCTGGCTGTATGTTGCAAATTCATTGGGACTGACTGAATTCTGACCAGAATTAGCTGTAGTGAATATGAGAATTGCCATTCCAGTCGGAATTCGCCCAATTGTGGTTATCATGTTATGCATCGATCAGATTATAGTACAATGGTATATAAAACTGTTGGTCAATGTTATTTTCTTCCTCCCACAGGACACATACATGTGGTTGCCTTATTGCAGTGTGATGCTAATCTTCCTGTATGTTTTATCCTTTGGGACAGGACCAGGTATGTGCTTGGTGAAATGGGTCTGGTGATATGTAGAAAGGTTAAGGATGTATAATATTCAGGGTTTAATCTGCATGTATACCTTTCTTTCTAGCAGTTTTTTTTCTCCCCAGGGGCAACAACTATGACCATCATTGTGGAACTTTTCCCCCAGGAAGCCAGAGCAGCAGCATTTGTTATTGTGGGAATAATAAACTGGATTGGACTGTTTGTCATTGGCATGGTCTTCCCACTTGTGGAGGTAAGACAGTGAGAAGTTTACAAATTAAATCTGTTGTGTGCGTAAGGACTAGAGATGGATTGTGTGCTATATATTGGAGATCAGCATTACTAAACATTAGAGGAGGGGTGTTTGGAGGTCAGTGTTAGGATGAGAGGAGGCAGAGGTTCCTTCATGATCACAGCCAATGTGAGTGATGGCTGAGAGTACTGGGTGGCCTGGGATTACTGAATGAAGGTGACAGTGGGACCGGGCTGTAGGGTGCTGTTTAAAAATTACTGTGTTGGGAAGATTGATGTCAGAGGATGCTGTTTGTTGGTTTTTTGTTTAAGTGGAGGGTTTTGTGTGTGCTTCTGGCTGCAGTGTTGCAAGTATACGCGAACAATTGTGTCCAATATGAATTAGATAATGGTTAGTACATATAGTTATGCTCCATGGTGTTTAATGTTTACTGCCTTGTACTATTCTTTTAATTATCCCTGTCATCAAGTACCAAAAGAGATAAACAATTAAGGTTTTATTCAGAGGTAGATAATCAGGTTGGTATGGATATGGAAAGGAATTGAACTACCAACGTGTTTCAACATCAATGCTGAATTCATCATAGAGTATGTAATAAATCATCTGGATAATGTGCATGAACTCCACGTGATGAGATCCAATGAGGAGCAGCTGACAGACATCAGTGCTAGCGTGCAGTTATTTTATTTTTAGTATAACAAGCTTAAATGTAGTATATATTGGAAATAAATGTCCAACCTGAATTTCTCTCCTAAGTCTTTGGAGTCAGTCTGTTGAGTGGTTGTACATAAAGGGAAATGTAGTGATTAAAGACAATTGAGGTGACAAGGCTAGTTATCACAGTCCTAACTGATGGGAGTAGTGTTAAGTTATTAGACTAATGTGAACGAATACCAGGACAAGAGTTGAATAATTGGAAGTAACATCATTCTATGGTATGATAAAGTAACGTTATGATAAAGCAATGTCTATGATAACTGTATTACCTAGCGCATTTGATGGGTTGGGAGGACTGGCAATTCAATCTTCTCACTCTCTAATGTCCTCGCTCTGGTTCTTTAGGCAACTCTAGGGCCATTTTGCTTCCTCATCTTCATCACAATCACAGCAGCTTGTGCAGTATTTCTGTATATTTACCTCCCTGAAACAAAAGGAAAATCTGCATTGGAGATTAAAGAGGATATCAATAAAGACAACCTTCGGAAGAAGAACCATCTAGAGATTCCTAAACACCTCAGTAATATCTCTGTGTTATCCACCAAACTGTAATCAACTTTCCTGTTATCCTAAACAACCTCACAATATTAATGAGAATAAAAGAGTTCACACGTGTTTCACATATTTTTAAATAAACATTATTTTTTTAATAGTCAAATATTCTGTGATGTATTGTAATTAATTGTGGCAGTTTCCCGTGGTTCACACATGATGTTTCTTAGCACTTCCATGCTCACAAGTGACCTACAGGGTTATTTAAGCAGAATTGCTAAGAAAAAGACCTCAACATATAAAAGCATAACTGATTTGACCTATTATGTGAAATTCATCGCCCCTTTTCTATCACTCTTTTGGTTCTAATGACCCTAAAACCTTTGGTTTTGTCACCAAATTCTTGTATATCCCTTGCGTCTCTTACCACGGCCCTTTCTTATTGTTTGCAACCATGTTCCTTTATCTTCAGATGCACATTATTTGGTTGTTTTTTTCCTCCTCCCTCTTTCACTTGTTGAGACATGCTATTTTTCTCCACCTCTCTCATAACAGATCACTGAACAACACAGGAGAGAACTAGATGGTCTTTGTTGTGCTGTAACATGCTATACTCTGACTCAGGGCAGTGGTAGAAGCAGTATACAAGCATAAAATTACAGGAAGAGCTCTACTGAAAGTGGCAGAAGCAGCACTGAGGTGGTGTTTAGATTGTAGATGCTCGCTTCATGCCACAGTAGGCTCCCACATAACCAGTCACATAGTTGGCATGTAGAAAGAATTTTTAAATAATTGAAGATTATGCTAGCTTCAGTGTACAGATAATCTTAATTTTAATAATGACAGGAGGCGAGTATTTTGCATAATCTTTCTTTACTAACTCCATAGCAGCAAAGAAAAGAGTGACATAACTGAGAACCAATCACAATGTAGTATAGAGTATAAGAGGTGTAACGTATGACATCATTTCCTCTTTAAAGCATGCAACATCACAAGATCACAATGCAGAATAACAATAAAGATAATGTATAACATGAAAAAAGAACATAAACATATGAAGAATTCTTGACAGGGAAGAATTCTTGATGTCGAGTGACGATCTTCCATGACAAGACGATGATGATATCTTGAAGGAAGTCTTTAGTGTCCTGATTCATCTGGTTAAACTGAAACGAGAATGTAAAAGGGTATTAGATTCCGGAGGTGGTTGTGTAAAACAATGCGTTGTCTATCCCTTATGATTAAGTAAACCATCATATTGCAATAGAGTGAATACATTCCTCCCATCTATACATGCTAACTAAGCCATCCCACCCATATGGAATATCTGTATTAATTGTAAAAAAATAACTTAGGCATTTAGCACAAATAACATGTGAATAAAGAGATAGAAATATACATGAAGACGGGGGGGGGGAACAGCGAAAGAGAGCAGGGAGGGAAAATACTCGCCTCCTGTCATTAAAGCTAGCATAATCTTCAATTTTATCACATGACAGGAGGCTTCGTATTTTGCAATTTCAACGCTGAGAAAGTAGAGCAAAAGCTGGATTAGATGGAGGACGGAAGTAGAACGTCCTAAAGGTGTATTCTCTGGTCCAGTCTGCTGCTCGTAAAATATCTGGAAGGGAGGCCCCCGCCGCATAGGCGGAAGAGGCCGCGGCCCCTCGGACTGAGTGTGCTCCAAAAGCCTGGTCTATCCCGGCAAGGGCCAATAGCCATCTAACCCATCTGGCCAACGTAGTAACCGAGACTGGAGCGTAGGGGCGGACGTAAGAGATGAGAAGTTGACGATTGGAAGTAGGCCGCAACATCGCGGTGGCTCCCACGTATCGACGAAGAGTAGAGACCACACAGAGCTGTGGGTCCGAGGGAAAAAGGGGTAAAAAACAGAGGAAGAGTCAGATTTCGTGCGTCTAGAGATCTGGAAGGTTACTCCCGCTGGGCAGAAGGTAAATGCATCAAAAGCGCGTACATCGGACACCCGATGAAAGGAGACTAGGCAGAGTAGGAAGGTGAACTGTGCCGTAAGCTGGCGGAGTGATAAGTTCTCATTAGGGGGCCAGTCCCGTAAGAACTGTAAGACTATGCCAACGTCCCAAAGTCTCGAGTATTTGGGTTCCGGGGGCGCCGAAGGCGCATGCCACGGAGGAGTCTACAGATGATTGGGTTCTGGCCCACTGGTGTCCCTTGAATCGGCGTATGGGCCGCTGAGATGGCTGAACGTATCACGTTGATGGACCGGTATGACTTCCCGGTTGTGAACAGAGAGGTGAGGAAATTCATGATGGAGGGAATAGGTGCCGTAAAGGGATTGAGATCCCGTCCCAGACACCAAGTAGTCCAGCAGTGCCATGCTGATAAGTAGCACCTCCTTGTTCCTGGCGCCCATGAGTCCCATAGGAGCTCCCTAGTTTCCTGCGATAAATCCTCGGTTCGCCAGGAACCCCTGAAAGAGTGCAGGCCACCAGGGGAAGTCGGCCCTCCCGGACCAGCGGATGGGGTAGTCCCATCGGGTTCCTGAGAATGGACGGAGTATCTGGTAGGAGGAGGGGGTCCCTGTTCGACAGCTCCAGAAGATCCGGGAACCATGGTTGACTTTGCCATAGAGGCGTGATGAGGGTCAGTATCACCCTCTGCATGCGGATCCGGTGGAGAACCCTCGTAATCATTGAGAATGGAGGGAAAGCGTAAGCCCCGTGTTGTGGCCACTGTTGCAGAAACGCGTCCGTTGCTAGACTCTCCGGATCTGGGAGCCAACTGAAGAAGTCCTTCGTCTGACAGTTGTTGCGGGAGGCGAATAAATCCAGGGAGAAGGGTCCCCTTTGTGCATCTAGAATCGTGAAAACATGAGGGTCTAGTTGCCAGTCGCTGGCGTCCCTCCAGTGGCATGAGTACCAATCCGCTGTCGTGTTGGTTTCTCCTGGTAGGTGTTCCGCTAACAGCGTGATGTTGCGAGGCAGACAATAATCGAAGATTTCCTTCGTGAGTTCTACTAGTGCTTGGGAGCGGGTGCCTCCAAGTCGGTTGATGTCTCTTACCGCCGAGACGTTGTCCATCCGGAGCAGGATGCAGCAGTTGGATCGTTCTTTTGTCAGACTGCGAATGGCGAATGATCCCGCCAGGAGCTCCAGACAGTTGATGTGCATCGAAAGTTCTTGGGGAGTCCACACTCCCCCCGTGGAGGAGGTGCCGTCTGTTGCTCCCCAACCTGAGCGTCTGGCGTCTGACTCCAATATGAAGTCTGGTTGGTTTCCGAATATCGCCCGGCCATTCCAAGCCTGCATGCAGTTCAGCCACCAGTGCAGTTCCTCCCAAACCTCGTCCGACATGGGGACCGGCTGGTCGTATGTTGGGTCTTTGCGAAGGAACTTTGTCTTGAGGCGTTGCATGGCTCTGTAATGCAGGGGTCCAGGAAAGATGGCCTGGATGGATGACGAGAAAAGGCCCACGATTCGTGCTAGTAGTCGTAAAGGTATGGATGTCAGTCGAAGTACCTTCCGAATTTCTCTGCGGATGGTGGCAATTTTTGCGGCCGGAAGGCGTAGAGTGCACGATGTTGAGTCTATCTCGAACCCAAGCAATTCGATCGACTGAGCGGGAGTCACTGATGACTTGGGGCCGTTGATAACGAAACCCAGTGAGTCAAGTAGGTGTACGGTGTAGTCTGTATGCCTCTTTAGGGTCCTTGCATCCTCATCGAATATCAAGATGTCGTCGAGGTAGACAATGCATCTTATGCCTTGGGCCCTCAGTCTCGCCATAACCGGCTTCATCATTTTGGTGAAACACCATGGGGCCGAACTGAGGCTGAACGGGAGACAGGTGAATTGCCAAGGTGTCCCGTGCCAGTAGAAGCGGAGATATGAGCAGCTCCTTTCGTGCACAGGGATGGTGAGGTATGCGTCCTTTAGGTCTAGACGCGTGAACCAGTCGTTGTCTCGCAGTAGGTCCCGGAGAAGATGGATACCCTCCATTTTGAAGTGGCGGTATACCACGTAGGAATTGAGCTCCTTGAGGTTGATGACAGGTCGGAATTCCCCGGTTTTCTTCCTGACCAGGAAGATATTGCTGTAGAACCCGGTTGAGTCCGGAGCTGGTTGGATGGCACCCTTGGAGTGTAAGTCCTGAAGTTCCGTGTCTATCAAAGAAGCGTCCGCCCGTGAAAACTGAATCGGGCGTGGTGGTGCCTGTTGGAGTGGCCTCGTCTCGAACTCTATTTGATAGCCCCGCACCAACCGAAGTATCCATGTGTCGGAGGATAGGTCTGCCCAATTCTGGAAAAAAAAGAGAAACACGACCTGCGATATGGCAAGAGGTTAGAGGTAGTATAGAATGGTAACTTACCGTTGGAGAATCTCGCTCGGGAGCATCCTCGGCCGCCACAGCCACGGTCCAATCCCCTGAACTGATGGAATCGATGGCGTGCAGATGGATCTGTGTAGAATGGTTGTGACCTGGTTGTGCGGGGGCCGGATGGCCAGAAGCGGCTGGTGGCACGGCCCCTCTGCCGACCAGCTCTCCCAAAAACACCACGGGTGTTGTGGCCGCGGAATACTTTCCGCATTGATGTTTGTGCCTTATTGAGGGAAGTGTTTATGTTGACCCTCTTATTAAGCTCAGTAAGGAAGGCCTCGCCAAACAATTTGCCCTGTGCCAAGGGGCCCAATTCTTTATCCCCCAGTTCAACAAGCTTGTCATCGATTCTGAAAAGTGCTGCTCGGCGCCTCTCCGAAGAGAGGGCCACATTAGTGTTCCCGAGCAAGCAGAAGCACCTTTGTGCCCACTCTCGGGTATCCCGTGCCCACTCACGCACCATATCTGGGGAGAAGTCATCAGCCCTTTCATAGGCATCATCTGCCATATCCATGATCCTCGCCAAAGGCCCGATGGCATCTAATAGTTTGTCCTGAGCTCCCTTGAAGCCACGTTCCACGCCCTTGCGTGGGTCCCGACCCCCGCGGGACATGAATGTGGTCATAAGCGGGTCGAATTCGGGGGTGTGTGCTACCTTATCTCATAGGCTCGGGCGAGGACATTCAGATCTCATACGCTTTCTCACTTCTTTGTCCAGAGACTTCCGGAGCCAGAAGTGCATGAATCTGGTCAAGTGTTCGGGTGGCGTCCATTCTTCCAAACGGGGATGGCGAATGTT